TAAGTTTGCTTAATGATAAAGCAAATTATATATTAAAAAATATATATATCTCAAGGATTTAGAAGGAAATGTCTTAATCTAATAAGAGAAAATGCTGCCAATAATTTAATATAGTTTGATGAAAAGTTTCTATATTTAAAGTTTGAATATATAAATTAGATATAACCAAAAATGTTCTACATCGTGACTTTAGTTTTCTTTTATTACTAGCACAACTCTAAAATACTCTGCTCTCTGCCCATTTTTCCAGGGCATTCAGAGTGCAGGCAAATGCTAAACAAAATGTCAGACTAATTAAATTAACTGTCAGTGTAAGTTCTGCTTTGACTCAATCAAATCCAGACAACACTCGACTTTCAAGTTGGGCACACCACGCCCACCTGCGTAGAGCGTAAAGTGGAACAGGTGCGCCCGGCTGCAACAGTTCTTGAGATGTTGAAAATGGCTCAAAAAAGGGCTGGAGCAAAGGCAGAGCCAGAACTGTTTATGCATTTCCTTAATGAAATGCAAAGAAAGACCAAAAATGAGGCTTACGAATTCCCAAACGCTGCTTACAGAATATGAAAGTCTGCCACGCCCCCCACCCGACGCTGCTGTAAACGAAAACATTTACAAAAGCTCTTGTTGAGTGGTAATTAAATATTTATCTTCTCTTGAGCTATTTGCTTTGATTAATAGCCAAATAGCAAAAACTGGCTACAAAAGATTTTTGCGCTTTGTTTACTTTAAATATTTTTCAATTTTTCACTTTGTTTATCTTTTTGTATTTTGATTCCCTATTTTTCGTGAAGTCTATAGAAAGTCAAACAGAAAAAATATACAAAATTAAATATTAACATAAATTATAATGAAATTAAGTTAAAAATTATTATAAAATATATGTGAAGAGCAAAAGTTTGTTTTTAAATAAAAATTTTCAAAATCAATTATTTTGCTATTATTGAAATTATTTTTGAGCCTTTTCGAAAGAGCATTGCTCAGTCGTTAAACTGCTAGAAATTTCATACTTTTCCTATTGTGTTTGAGTTTTATTTGTGCAAATTTAGGCTTGGGCTTTAATTTAGATAATGCGTTCTATATTCGATACACCAGAATCGGATTTATTTGATTTCTCAAAATTTATAGGAAAATTAAAAATACTTAAGCTTGTTTAGATCTATTTTGATTTGCATAAAGTTCTAGTTGGGCAATGAAATCAGCAGCTTTTGGCATATTTAAGTGGAAAATCCATTTGGAAAAGTGTTTGGTAATAAGTTGTTCAGCTCGAAGGCGCCAACAGGCTATAAAACATGTCTGCCAAATGCATTGAAACAGTTCGCACATGCAAAGCAGGCAAAGTGCGAGTAAGCCACATCATTATGGGACCACGGGGAGCGACTGACTCCAATGGACGCCAATTGGGTGCGTAGCAAATGTCGCCACAGATGAGGAGACGAGGAGTCGAGGAGTCGAGGAGTCGTTGCAGCGAAGCATCATTAAGTCAATTTTGTGAGGGGGTCTGGAGCGCAACTTAATGTGCAGCCAGGGAGTAGAAATGCCAGTCCGGGCAGACAGAGCAGCCATTGCTCCGATGGCCAACATGGACACACCAATTATCCAAAATGCCAACACACGCAACAACAGCCGAACTGAGGGCGCATAGCAAGGCAACGGCAGGGCAGGGCAGGCCAGTGCAGGGGGTGGGACTAAAAAATAAGAGTGGAAACAAAAACCTATTGGACGGCTGCATTGTGGCCAGCTATAGCAAAGGAGATTGCGCTTTTGCGGTTGTGTTAAGTTGATTTCCGGCACGTCTGTTGCTTCAGTTGAAAACCAGGCAACGGCTCCGCATGACTTCAAGATGCACAGCGCCAATTATGCGTGCTGTCAGCGTCATCATCGTCATCATCGTCCTACTCCACGCTGGTCAGCGCTACATTCATAAACAGACGCTGCCCCATTATCATCAGTGTAGGTGTTTAGACACGCCCCCATCGTCGCCGCTGTCAAATGCATCAATGTGCTGGCTCCCCATAGATGCACAGTGGAGCAAACTATATTTTATATTAAATACTCGTTGCGATATTATGAATGACATACGAATCTGAATAAGTGCATCAACTTGCTGAATGTAGAGTGGAGCAAGCTATATGAATTCATATATAAATTGAGGCGCACAAATTTAATCTATAAATATATGAAAGTTATTTTATATATTTGATGTATAAATCTTTATATAAAATATGATTAATATCTGTAGAGCCTCTAGAAACTTTGCTAAGATGCTAAGATGTCTTGCAGCTTGATTATTAATATTAAAATAATTTTGTTAATTTATTTTTTATTTCTTTTATAAAGAAAAAAATATTAAGGAATATTATTTTATTTATTATATTTATTTTATTTGAAACCACTTTTTTTAGATTTTCATTTAAGTTTTAAGTTCTCTTATGTTACAAATTCAATTAAATCTTAATCAAGCTCTTCATGCTTCATAAATTTCTTTCAGTAACTCTGACTTTTGCTCCACTGTACGTTATCGCTGTCTGGCTATGCCTGCACCCACATGCTCTACCCACTAAGGTGTGCTGTAAATTATACGGCTTTGCGTTTAGCCTCCGTAACCTCGAAGTTGCCCTGGCTCCCAGTAGATGTCCTTTCTGCTGGTTGTCTTCCCCGGCAGCTGCCCCTGCCCCATGCTGGCTGCTGCAACGCAGTTTGATGTTTTGCGGTTGTGTTTATGCTGTTGACGTTGTCAACGTTGTCGACGTTGTCGTAGGCCCCAATTCGAGGCCTGACTTTAAATATTCAGAGTGTGCTTTTAGGCTTCTATTAGGAAGTTGAGCCGTACGCAGAGGCAGCTCTTTCAAATGGGCATGAAGGAGTTTAAGATATATACAACTTATCTGCGGACCTTTCAGACTTAAGATTCAAACTTGATACTTCCTTCATTCACATTAAATTACAACGAACATATCGATTCTGCATTATCTTCTCTGATTTATAGCTCAGCAATCGCCTTAAAGTTGTGACTCCCTTGCCACTGTTAAGCTCTTTAGTCAAGTGTGTCAATTGCTGACACCTGCAAATTTCCATTCAAGTTTGCTGCTTCGTCGTTTTTTTTTTGTGTTTCCTTTGTGGTTGCGAGTGGCCAAGGGCAAACGCTTTGGCATTTGAATAAACAACTTTTGGCCCACTGGAAAGGATGGGCAAACCAATCAAACCGAAATATTTTGCAGCCACACGGGCTGACAAGAAAAACTTTCACACTCGCCTCGTGTGTGTGTGCGGCGTGTGCTACACATACGTGCCCCACGTTGTGGCATGGCTGCACATTTGCTTGCCTTAACCTTTATTTTCATTAGCCATCCAAATGCTGCTGCTGCTGCTGCTGCTGCTACTACTTGAGCTTTCAGCTGCAGTTGCAGCTGCCGTCTTCCAACCCAGCCAGAACGAAACGAATTCTAGCTAAGCCAAGCCAAGGCCCAGCCCAGCCAGCAGCCAGTTATCCAGTCAGCTAACCGCAACGCTGTTGGAGCCACTGTCATTTGTTATGTTATTGGTTTGGACATTTTGCAAATTGCTTATTTAGCAGTGCGTAAAATCCACAGCACACACACACACACGCATTCGATTCTGCTATCTGGTATATACTGTCTCCATCTCTGCTGACTGCCTGTGGTTCTTCTTCTGCTCACTTTTTTCACTCTCTGCTGCTCCGGGGAGACCAACACATATGTCAAGTGTGTGGCGTCTGTTATTCTTTGCTCTTTAGTTTCATCTTTTTTCCGTATACCCTGTAAGTGCAGCAGCTGAAAAGGTGGCTGAAATCTAAAGATGAAGATCAGCCTGAAAATGACGTTCTCTAAAAATCTATAGAGAACTGTTTGCAGACTTATGCAAGCTGCTTATATATAGCTGTAGATAAATTCTAAGATGAATGGAAAGTTGTGCAGCTGTTTAAATTTCCCATGCTATGAAATTTTTAGGAAATCAATTTTTAAGGAAATCATATTACATTTTTCTAATTTTATATTTTAAAAATGATGAAAAAGGCCCAACTAAAAAAATTAGTTAAAAGTTGATAGAATTTAAGAAACTTGCCATATTTTTAAGATATTAATGAATTTTTATATGATAAGCTGATCTACAATTATTGTAAGTTAAAGAAATTAAGCGAAAACAATACCTAATCAGACTAAGAACTTCAGTATTTACCTCACTTAATATTTAAAAAATATTCTATTAATTCAAGTAACTCAAATTTGTATATAAAATTCCATTAAGAAGTTATCTATATATACAAATGTCTGTCTGCATTATAAAAACATTTTTAAAGTCTAAACTTCTGTGCAGGATATGCTTGTATATATCATTACGTATACGACAAGTTGTACGTTGCCTTTTGCTGCTGCTGCTGCATGGCCGTAACTTTCATTAGCCGAAAACCTCAAGTTAACAGCGTGTCATGCAAGTGGTTAGTTGTTTCCATCTATTACCATTTCAATGTCAAAAAAATGTATGGGAGGCAGAGACAGACACAGAGAGAAAGAGGGCGAGCGAGGGGGGAGAGAGGCAAAGACAATAGTAAGTGCGAGAGGCCTGCAAGTTATTTGGGCAAGTGTTCAAACAGAGTTCGGTACATTTTTGCCACTTGTCATCCGAAAGGGCATTTTGCCATCCATAATAATATTTGCTTTTCATTCGTCAGCTTCGCTTTGCGGGCTGCTTCTTGATTTTCCATGCTGCCTAATTGCCTGGATAGGTTTTACAGCGTCTCCTTGTGGCCATAAAAGTTTTTATGACTAATATTCGGTGTGTGTGTAGAGAGAGCGATATCCCTTAATTAGACGAACGACCATTAAAACTGATCTATGTCATATTAATTGAGTTTTTTTGTGACTGTACATAAAATTAATTAAAGCTTTAATAGTCGCGATTCGATCCAAAATGATATTTCTAATATTTTTTAAGATTAATAAATTTAATAAATTTGTGTATTATCTCTTATCTCATTGCAGTTGAACTGAAGCAAAGGTCGAAGCAAAATTGTTTAGCAACAAAACAAAAATGAGTCTGTGAATGTGCCATAGAAGACATTTGAATAATGTATTAATAAATTTATGATCTAGGCTAAAAAGGAAACTTACATCGAAATGAGTTTATTTAATGCCGAGCAGGGATAATGGATATATAAGTATATGCTATATTTTTATTTAAAAAGAATGTTGTAAAACGAAAAGTAAACATTATGTAAGTAACTTGGCTCAATCTAATTAGAGTAAACAAATTTCCTGCTTCTGCTTCTTACCTCTATAGATATCTCATCTATGCGCCCTAAATAACCTAATATGGCACAGCCTTTATTGTATTACAAGCCTCTAGCCATACACATTTTATATTCTACATTTGTTGCCGAAAAAGCAAATCAATTTATATTGAATGGAGGTAAACTACGAAAGTTAACAGAGCGCCATGTCCTTGCACCCACTCGAGCCGCTCACAAGTTTTGTCGCCAGCAAACAAATAACAACAAAATGTGAACTTCTTTTTCTAGTTTTTTTTTTTGGTAAATAGAAATCCTCAGCCCAGCAAGAAGAAACAGTTTTGCGCCAACTGAAAACTGTAAACTGAAAACTGAAAAGCCTTTAGGCCTTTGCTCTCTGGCAAAAGTCGAGTGGAGTAAATAGAAAAAGTTGCTGAGACTTTTTCAAATTGAAAATGAGCTGGCTGCCAGGTAGTTGCAGCTAGCAAAGATTAAGCATGGAATTGAAGAGCATAAAGATAGACTGTCAAATACCCTGTAAGTGAGAGTGAGGAAATAGCACATGAGAGAGTTACTTTTCCATACAAAACTCCCATTAAGCTAAGCAAGTGTTAATCGGATGTAAAATATTAGTTAATTAATAGATTAATAAAATGGCCTTTCTAATACTTATCCTGCTTGCTTACACTGTGCAGAAGGAATACAAATCTTTAGCACTTGTGCCTTAATAATCGCTTTAATTACAATTAAAATGAAACCCTAAATGACTTTGCTATTGTTGTTGCTGCTGCCGCTCGTCTCCTGCGAAGATGAATGACTGGCCATTCGTTAGCTGGGGGCCAGTAGGAGCTCGGCCAAGGTAGAATGCCGGGGCGACGTGCTCAAAGTCAAAGTCGCGATGCTATTATAATGCTAATGACGTTTAATCGTTTTTAGTTAGGGATTTTCTCAGTTCAGCAGTGGCGAGCGCCAGCGAGCGGATGCGAGTGCGGCGCTTAGTTAATTAGCATAAAGTTAAAACGTTTTGCGGCCCGGCAGTTGCACAACTTCTGACGCAGCTATTAAATGAGTTTGGCTTCTTGGGGCCAGCGCCAACTGCCAGCGAGTTGCGCTCGAGAGGATTAAAACTGAAAACATTTCACTGCTGTCAATAGAAAGTTCACTGAGTGCAATAACATTAACATACATTATTGACTTGATTAATGTTTACTCCTTCAAAACTGAAACATATCAGAGAATATGTGATCTCCGGCACAGTAGACAATTTGAACAAAATGTTCAGCTCGAGAGGTAAGTGTGATGCACAGCGATAATTAAAGCCAAGCTATGAGCAGTGGCTGAATGGAAAGATGTCCTAAGTCGACTTCTTTATTCTAAACAAATCATTACATTCGTAAGTAAAACAGAAATGCAATAGAAGTGGCAGAGCAGCCCTTCTTTAACTAAGAAAAGTTGATGGAAGAAAGGAAACCATCGATGAAGTCAGGTCTGAGACTATAATAGAGCAAATGTGCAGTAGCAAAGATGTTTGGTTAGGAAGAGAGGCTCCTCCTTGAAGGTTAATATGGGATGACTCCTAGTCAAGAAGAGCTGATGGAAGGGGCAAAAAGCATTTTCTCTAGCATCAACATGGCATTATAATTATTTAATTTCATCCGCATTATCAGCTTAAATGCCATTATCATTATAGACCACTTCTTCTAGCTCAAGAATATATAGATTTGTAAATAAATATAGCATTAATCCTGAATGAATTGCTTTTAATAACTCTTTGACTGTTTGACTTCATTAAGCATTTCATTGCCTTTAACTTTGCCTTGCAATTTGCTCGTTTATTGAATATTTTTTTCGCAGTTCTATAAAAACAGACAAAAACACAGCCAGAACGAATATATAGGTAGACACATATGTATATCGCTTGGGGGACATGCATAAAAATCCATAATGAAATTGTGCAGAAACGAAACGAACGCGTGCTGCCTAAAGCCACGCCCACCAAAAACTGCCCACACCTAGGAGTAGAGGCAAATGGCCATAGGCTGTGAGCCAGGAAACATGTCACGTGCAAACACACACACAATGAGAGAGAGACAGCGAGAGAGTGGGGAAGAGCGAGAGGGAGAGAGAGAGAGGTAAACAGGCACAGAGCGCATCCAATGATGGCCGCAATGGAGGCCGAGGCACCTCTTGCACAAGCTTCAACGAGCTCCGGTCTTGGTCTGTGGTCCCTCGTCCATGGTCCGTGCTCCCTGGCTCGATGCTGTTTGCATTTTTCGCATGAAATTGACGTTTCATTTGTTATAATATGCATTGAGGCAACATTTCGATGCTCATAAATATTTAACAGACATTCATCTGTTGGGAGAAACGTTAAAGGCAACGCAGCCAGGGGCCGGCGCACATGTCCAGTTGAGCCTGTTGCAACAGGATATGCGGATATCGCATGGCTATTGCGCTACAGATACACATATTCCTCGATATTCGTAGATACTCGTCTGCATACACATTATGACCATGAAATGGCCAAAAAGAACGAGCCAACAACTTAAGGTTCACCCCTGTGCTTACGTTGTGTGCGCGTGGGCGCTGAAACAGGCAGCCAAAATCACAAAAACAAAGGGAAAGAAAAACCCCAACAGACACACACAGCAGAGGCAGCCACGCTCGCTTTGCAACTCAAAGGATCAGACGGTCGACGGCTGTAAGCCGCATTAATTATTGATTGAAGTCGTTGGCCAATTCCGCGAGAACTTTTCTACCTGCTTTACGTGTGCAGCTATGTGTGTACAGCTGCTAAAGACATGGCTCCGACTGAAAAGTTTATGAAAAAATAACTGCAAAAAATAAATAAATTTCAATTGGAAATTACATATGTGTGGTGTTCTTTTTAAAGTTATAGAAGTTTCAATCATGTTAAAATAAACAATATAATTTTTATGTCATTCAAATTGACATTATTAATTCAAACATTTTATGTCATTAATGTTTAATTATAATTTTGGCCATGTAACAATTTTGTTTATTTATGTCCTCATTCATTCATTCATATCTACATTTTAGAAATAAAATTTATGTATATATCTATATCTATAATATATGATATTTACTTCAATTACCATATATAATGCCCGCTCCTCTGTCATTTGAAGCCTTTTAAAAGCAACTCCCTTCTAGCTCTACTCCATTTATTATACTCCCACTTTCGAGCCAGCTTTGCAACTTTGAGCTGTCAAACGTTTAAGAACTGGCAGCCAAGTCAAATTGAAAAACATTTGAATGCAGCCAACATATGTGAGTCTTTAGTTACAAACAAACTGTACGCATACTTCAGCACCTGTAATACATCCATCTTGCTAGTCGCTTAACTGGTGGCTCACACGCGCTGTTTGTTTGTTTTTTTTTTTTCATTTTTAAGTTAAATCGCAACAATCAGCGCTAATTGGAAATTTAACAGTTCATAAAAAGTTTTTGGCGCGCCAAAGCGCCCTCTGTCGCCCGTCGCCCGCCATTCGTCGCCTGTTACACTTGCCCGGGCACGCCCACTTACCTTGTTCAGGCACGCCCCCTAACAGGCAGTCGCAGTTGAGTTGTTGACCCAAATAGCACGCTTTATGAAGCTAGCGACTCGCAGCTCAGGCATTTTGCTAAGCTTCTGCCTCACTGGCAGCGAACAGGCGCCGCGCGGCAGGGGCATGGGGCATGAGCCATGGTCTCTGCAGTGATGGAAAATGCCTTGAAAGCAGCTGGGCTCATGCTGGTATGGTTTACACCTGTTTCTATTCATGCATCACCCACACACAAGCACACACTCACACACCCACACACACACATTAAAAAACTATCAGCGTGTGTTTCATTTCACTCGCTGCTCGAGCTTGGGGCTGCCAGAATAGATTGAGAGTGGGTCTGTGTGTGTGTGTTTGTTAGACTTTTTCCAATGTTTTTGCGCTCTAGGATAACACTAATTTCGCACCACTAATTACAGTTCTTTTTATGCCACCCTCTCACACACACAGACACGCCCCCCTCGCTTATACAGCCCACTTTTTTCCATCGCTCACTTTGCGTAATTATGCGATATGTGGGGGCCGGCGGTTGGGGAGTCGCTGCTACTTAACTCAGTTGGGAAATAACGTTATAAAAATGTTGCAACAACAGCAGCTGCAGCACAACATCAAGTAGCACATGCCAAACGTTGCAGTTCCGCTGAGCTCTTCCCATTGCCAGTTGACTCGACTGGATTTTAAATGCTTAAGTTTATCGACAACATAAACATATATAATTTCTTTTTACTTCCTACTTTTTGTTATTTAATCTTCAATTATGAACTGTAAATCAATTGACTTTTGAAGTGCCTCAAACACAATTGGGCTTAGCAATTAATTAAGTAGGCTAAGAAAGCGAATTTGGCATAAAGACTTGGTAAATTAAGATAAATAAATGGAATCAATTAAAAATTTAAAAAGACTTAAAAAGAAAAAATAGTAATATGCTAATATATATTAATCTATCAATCATATATGAATAAGAACTATAAATTCTAGAACTATAATTTCTAGTAGAACTATAAATTCTAGTAGAGAAGAACAGATTTTAGGTTCCTATTCAAATGCACTTTTAATAAATATATAATATATATTTTTATATTAAACAGTTAATTAGCAAATCTCGAATATATTTCAACTTATAAAATATATTAAAAATTAAATTTTATTTAATTTAATTTAAAAATTCATTAATTAGCTTTCGCTTTTCGCTGTTACCCTTTAACCTTACAGACATAAAATTAGATTTTTTTATTAAAGTTAATGCTAACATTGAAAAAAAGAAATATTATAACAAGTGCACATAGCCCACGGCTG